TGGAATAAAATAATGATAGCTCTTTTTAATTTATGCTATTCCGGTCGGATTATAGAATGCGGAATATACTTTCCCTATGCCGCTAAATCGGAAATGTCTAATACGGTATGGCATGTAACATCGAAATGGCTTTCTATTGTTTTCGTTCCAAAAAAAAAATAAATAAATAAATAAAATAAAATAAATGATAATAAAAAAAGATCACAGCGCTTAGTTACGATGACGGTACAAAAGGCTGTTTTCGAAGAAGTAAGAAACGATACTAGCACATTCGTACACCATTCCAATGTTACGGCATGTCGTACCGTGTGCGCTTGCAAGTCAGTACCGTATGTTTCCCCACTCATACGATAACCATTCTTATGGGAAGCCATTTCAGTGTTACGGCATGTCATACCGTGTACGTGCTGTAAGTCAACCAGTAAGTAACCATTCTTATGGGAAGCCATTTCAGTGTTACGACAACCATTCTTATGGGAAGCCATTTCAGTGTTACGGCATGTCGTACCGCGTTACGTGCTGTAAATAGCTCTCCCATGTATGAAAACCGCTCTATATCAATGATAACTTAGAATCTCTACAAGCAAAGAAAACAGCTAACGTACTCTTTATTCATTTCAGTCACGTGCTTACTACGGGATAGACGTCATGCTAAAGTGGGCTGATGATGGTAAGGCACGCAAACTGGGCTCTTGGAATCTTTATTTGACATAGGGAGCATGGTGCACAACTTCACAATAGTATGCACTATAGTCAATTAACCCCCATCCTCCGACCTTCTGGACGGGGCGGGAGATTTAACATTCACCATGTTAAACTTTACCCCGATCATCGGGTTCAATCGGTAACAAGATTTGCTGTTAAAATTGTTGAAATTGTATTAAGTAAGGGGGGAGGGGAGGGGTGGAGGAGAAAATGGGGGCCCTCAATTTTTTTTTGTGGAACATGGGGTGCCCTGAAAGGTCAAAAGGAGGATTGGGAGGATTGAGAGGATTTTTTAAACTATCGAAGGGGGTACCCCAAAAACATGAATGCTATTAGGTTGGAGTCATGAAAAGTTTTTGCATGAAAAACATTTTCACCTCCACTATTCTGTGGTCTATTGTGATGGTAAATTTAACCTAGATTTGTTTTCTTTCTTTGTTTCAGGATCTGAGAGAATCATTCCACAGATTATAGAGTTCAATTTCCTGCCCGATGCCGCCAGAGCTTGCCGCTATTTCCCTCAGTTCTATAATGTATTGTTGAGTCAAATGTTTCTAGGTGACCCTAATGGATGGGAGATAGACAGGCTTATCTGAAACATAAGTCGTTGAAAGCCTTTACCAAATAAATGGCAACTTCCAATCAATCAGATGACTTTGTTTAAGGCCAAACAAAAAATGTGTTTCCTGTTGCGCGACCGACCCTA